TACTTTTTTGTACCAGGGATTGAATCCAGGGGGACTTAACCACTGACACACACACCCATCCCTTTTTGTTTTGAGACAGGGCCTCCCTAAGTTGCTTAGGGCCTTATTAAGTTACTGAGGCCGGCTTTGAACTTGTGATCCTCCTGCCTCAGTCTCTGGAGTCGCTGGGATGACAGGTGCACACAACCATGCCCAGGTGGGACTTTCAATTTTACAGGGGCTCTGTTCTACCTCTGCTGGGAATAAGCTGGGAAGTGGCTCATTTAGCTGTTTCTGATGGACAAAGAATATTTCATTTCTGACCCGTGCAGGTTTATATTGTAATATGGTGTTCAGGCAATAGATCAACCTTATATAGCCGTTTAGTTTAATTAGATTGGATGAGCGGCTTTTCTCATGGTGATTTCAATAAACATCCAATTGTATAGGCATAGAACATTTCTGAAGGAATATTAAAGAAACAGGTTAGTGATTTCTTCTTCTCCTTCTTCTTCTTCTTCTTCTTCTTCTTCTTCTTCTTCTTCTTCTTCTTCTTCTTCTTCTTCTTCTTTGTAGGTGGACACAATACCTTTATTTAATTAATTTATTTATTTATGTGTTGCTGAGGATCAAACCCAGCACCTTGCACACGCGCTATGCAAGTGCTCTACCACTGAACCACAACCCCCCCCCCCCTTTTAGGGATTTCAACTGAAGGGAATGCAGTGACTGAGGGTCAAGGTGAGAAGGACACTTACTTTTGCTGTCTACCTTTGATACCTTTTTATTTTCTAGTACCTCTAAGTATTACTTATTTGATTTATTTATTTTACAGTGCTGGGATTTAAYCCAGGGTCCCACACATACCAGACAAGTACTCTACTATCACTGGACAGGAGTCTCATGAGGTCCCTCTAAAGAGGAGAATGAGACTTCAACTTAATCAGGGCAAATTCTTGACTTTCACCACTGAAAAGAATTCCAGGGCTCAGCGGGGGGGTGGGGGGGTGGGGGGGGTGGGGGTGCTGGGGTTGTGGCTCAGTGGTAGAGCTTAGCATGTGTGAGGCATTGGGTTCTATTCTCAGCACCACATAAAAATAAATACATAAAATAAAGGCATTGTGTCTGTAGTGGCGCCCCCTTTCTCCACAGAAAAGTCTTAACTGGGCTTCTCCAGAAATCTTCACCATGGCTGATTTTAGGACCGTCAGCAAAAGAATCTCTAGAAAAGAGTTCAGTGTAGATAAATTTTCCATTTTCATGTGCTCTGTTTTACCTGGCCACTGGCCGGGAAGATACCAGCACTCCAGGTGCTGATTAGTTTTTCACAAACGTATCCAGTATAGTAGTTTGCAGAGGCCTTGAAATGGGGCTTCACAGAGATGTCTACATTTCTAAGATAAGTTACCAATTGGGCTCCATGGTAACAGCTGGCAGRGGGAGGAAAGAAAGGGGAGAAGAAGCTCTCCCCTCTCAGGTGTTGTCCTTGTGAGAAACTAATGTGACTCCATTTTTAAAAATAAAATAAATAACAGCAGCTTCTACCTCAAGGCCTGTCCTAAGGAAGGGGGCGTGGCCCTTGTCCTTGGAAAAACCCTAAGCACATACCCACCCTGCTGAGTTGTTTGTAAATAGCAGGAGAGGTCTGAGGCACTAGGTGTCCCTGACTCAGTCAGGCTAGGTGAGGACCCATAGCAACCCCCTAGCAACCTCCAATCAGCATGAGACAGGGAAAATACCTGGAATGCCAGATGATTCCCAGTAGTTTATGGTGGTTGATAACATGTTGGGAAACCATGTAGTTTAGCACTTACACCCCTTGTGGCCTAAACCAATCAGTTCAAAGGAATCCCCCTCTTGTATTAACCAATCACCCCTACCCAACTTGTTCCCACCATTGAATGTGCCAATCAATGTTAAGAGCTGTTGTTTGACTTTCCCGAGGTATGGAATGATTTGCTGTGGGGTGTTGTGATGCATAGAGTATCCCCCCAAACCTATAAAATTTCACTGAACAAAGGACCAGGACTCACTCCCTGGGACAGCTGCATCGGGAACGGAACGGTTGAGTCCAGGCTCAAACTTGCAATAAAGATTCTTGTTGCTTGCATCAGATTCGGCTCCTGGAGGTCTATTGGGGTCCCACGAATCTGGCATAACACTTGAAGGGTTAACTTGCCCAGAACAGTGAAAAAAAAAACTGCTTTTATGTGAACTTCTACAGACTGTGAACTTCTGAGCCCCTCCCCTTACATGCTGGGTATAAAACTCTGAAACTACCTGAATTCAGGGTTCAGGGGGATTGATTGATTACAGCAAAAGCTGTGCCCTCTGAACCTGGCTGCAGCCAAATAAAACTGTAGTCTGCTATCTTTGGTACCTTGCCTCATCTGTCCCTAGAACAGTGTTGATTCATAAGTAAAATAAAATAAAATAAAATAAAATAAGAAGAACTCTAGGACTCATCAGAAGCAAGGCACAAGCAAAGATGTATTTCAGAACAGCAAGGATGTACAGACCTCAAAGACAGAGGGTAGGCTACCCTTGCCTCTCAGAGAAGATAAGCAATGCTCTCAACATTGAGCCCTTGGGCTGAATATTTCTGATCACATACATGATTTTCATGGAAAGAAATGTACAAGTTTTTAGGCAAACTCTTTAAAAGTCAGGTGACAGGACAATCATATGATTACTGAGGTTTAGAATGTCTTTCTTTGGTGGCAGTCTAATCAGAAGTCATTTGTGGGCACATTGTGTAAGTCTTTGGTGATGTTTAAATTCATTATGTTTCGGTACACGCATGTGATCTGGTGTCTTGGGAGGCTGAGGCAAGATTGTAAGTTCAGTGAGCCTGGGAAACTTAGCAAAACCCTGTCTCAAAATAGAAAGGGGGCTGAGGATGTAGCTCAGTGTTAGAGTGCCCCTGGGTTCAATTCCCAGGACCACTAAATTAACTAATTGTGGTCTTTGTTCTAGTTGATCTGTGGAAGCCCATGGTGGAGGATTTGATCATCTAACTATAGGGACAAACATAGCTGGTTCTGCTCGTAGATCTGGGTCCATCCACTGACGGCTCTTTTTGTTTCTCCTGGAGAGCCCAAGCATCACGCTGCCACTAGGCTGTGCTCCTAATCCTTGAACTGTTTTAAAAACTCTTATAAAAAATAATAATGAAGGGCTGGGGATATAGTTCAGTTGGTAGAGTGCTTGCCTTGGGGTTCAATCCTCAGCACCACAAAATAATAATATAATAATAATAATGAACGAGCTGGGTGTGGTGGCACCTGTTCAGGTATGCCGTGGAGACGGGCTGTGCCCTGCAGGGCTACTCTGTGATTCGGGGAGCAGCAGCGTCAGGCTGCGCCGAGTCACTCCATTGGGGAAAGCAGTAGTGCCATCTGCTATGACATTTCCAGCACAGGCACCAAGGTAGAATTGGAAGAAACAAGCTCACTATCCAAACCAGGAATAGACTGAGAGCCAAAAGTTACAGAGAAGCAAGGCTTTAACTGACGATCTTGCAAGATCTGGCGTCTGGGTGAGCAGGCGCCCCAGAGCAGCTACAATCAGCATTCTGCCCCTCCCCAGTTCCTTGCTGGCTGAGTGCTGGGGGTCCCCGGCCTTCTAGAATGTCACCTAGGTTTTACTGTCTCCTATTGGGTTATTTAAAGACATGTACCTTTAGTTGTCCCACCTCCTGTGTTCTCCGGTGACTTCTGGGACTGAGCTGGTAGCAGGCAGTGGGTCTCCGTTGGTCAGGCTGGCCCCTTCCTGTCTGCCAAGGGGCTGTGACTCTGTCACACTCCAGTGTGACTTTCCATTCTGTTTTCCCCTCTTGCCGCCCTTCTTACATCCCAGTTTATTATATTTAAGGCTCAATACTGTGCTCTGCACATGCACCACCAGACTCTACTCCTCACAGAAGGACTCTACTCCTTGTGGGTAGAGAGCACAATCGCCATCCGCCCAGCAGGACCGGGAAGCATGAACTGATAAATAACTTCCCTGTGTCAACTTGCCAATCTAAGTCTAGGAGTGCAGGGACATCCCATGTCATATCAGGAGCACCAGACATGGGAGCTTATCAACTGCCCCAGGTGCAGCCCCCTCATCTAACCCCCCCCCCCCGCTCTTCTGTGTTGGGGGGGGAGCTCGGGGACACCATGATGGCAGAGGCAGGGTCTTAGAAAGAAACTGCAGGAGCACAAGACAAGGAGACAAGTCCTGTCTCTGTTTTCAGTGGTCCCGTTACCATGACAACTCCAGCCATGACAACTCCCACCAGGTTCAAATTTTAAAATGACTCATGGGGGTCAAGTGGGCAGTATTCTAATTAGGTTTTCTGAAGCCATCCATGGGGGTGGGGGTTGGAAGCATTCTCATCAGGTACCATAGGGTAACCAGGGGGGATAATGGGGTAAGGTCTTCAAACAGGTCCCGATAGGGAAGAGAACGCCCCATAGCTCAGGATATAAGACCCTAATTTCAAGTCCTTGGGACCTTGAGCCGCCCRCACGCTCTGCCCACGTGGTTCTACCTGACAGGTGCCATCTTCACCTGCGATACATCTGAACTCTGCTACTTCTGTGTATCTCGCTTAGTTCTTTGTTTGGGATGCCAAGGACCTGGACTTCAGCTCGACATCCCAATGGTACCAGCTGGACATGGCAGTGCCCTGACACTGTCACCTAGTCACTCATCATGAGCCTTGCCCAGCGACAAACCCATGATCTTCTGTCGGATCAAGATCGGCATGGCTTGGCTTTTCCACCCGTGCCGGCCACACGCGGCCCACTCCAAGCTGACACGCTGAAAACCTCAAGCTGCTGCGAGCTGTCTGGCCCTCGGCTTTGACGATGCTGTAGAACTGGTTCATTAAAATCCTTGTCTGACCTCCTGCCAAGGCGCCGACTCTGCATTCCTCCCTCTGCCTGTGCTCTAGGCTCAGCACCCTGTCACCCTGCGGTTGTCTCAACCTCTTAGTTTCTTTCTTTTTTTAAAAAAATTATTTATCGGCCCGGACGCGGAGCGAGAGGCTGAGAGAGTCGGAGACCCTATCCGCTTCCATCCGTCGCGCAGACCCTTCCGGAGCCGCTGCCGCTATGGATGATCGGGAGGATCTGGTGTATCAGGCGAAGCTGGCCGAGCAGGCTGAGCGATACGACGAAATGGTGGAATCAATGAAGAAAGTAGCAGGGATGGATGTGGAGCTGACAGTTGAAGAAAGAAACCTCCTATCTGTTGCATATAAAAATGTGATTGGAGCTAGAAGAGCTTCTTGGAGAATAATCAGCAGCATTGAACAGAAAGAAGAAAACAAGGGAGGAGAAGACAAACTAAAAATGATTCGGGAATATCGGCAAATGGTTGAGACCGAGCTAAAGTTAATCTGTTGTGACATTCTGGATGTACTGGACAAACACCTCATTCCAGCAGCTAACACTGGCGAGTCCAAGGTTTTCTATTATAAAATGAAAGGGGACTACCACAGGTATCTGGCCGAGTTTGCCACAGGAAATGACAGGAAGGAGGCTGCAGAGAACAGCCTAGTGGCTTATAAAGCTGCTAGTGATATTGCAATGACAGAACTTCCACCAACGCACCCCATTCGTTTAGGTCTTGCTCTCAACTTTTCTGTATTCTACTATGAAATTCTTAATTCCCCTGACCGTGCCTGCAGGTTGGCAAAAGCAGCTTTTGATGATGCAATTGCAGAACTGGATACACTGAGTGAAGAAAGCTATAAGGACTCTACACTTATCATGCAATTGTTACGTGATAACCTGACACTATGGACTTCAGACATGCAGGGTGATGGTGAAGAGCAGAATAAAGAAGCGCTGCAGGATGTGGAAGATGAAAATCAGTGAGACATAAAAGCCAACAAGAGAAACCATCTCTGACCACCCCACTCCTCCCTGCCCCACCCCTTGGAAGTTCCCCATTGTCACTGAGAACCACCAAATCTGACTTTTACATTTGGTCTCAGAATTTAGGTTCCTGCCCTGGTTTTTTTTTTTCCCTCCTGTATTTTTTGTTTTGTTTTGTTTTTGTTTTGTTTTGATTTTTTTTTTCTTTTTTGTTTTTGGTTGTTTTTTTTTTTTCCTTTTTTTTTTAAACCGTTTCCAAAAGTTCTTAAAGGCAAGAGTGAATTTCTGTGGATTTACTGGTCCCAGCTTTTAGGTTCTTTAAGACACTAACAGGACTGCATAGAGGCTTTTTCAGCATTACTGTATTGTCTCCGTGCCAGAAGTGGCAAGATCACCATTAGAAATGGAAATTATATTTGAAAGCCATTAGACTTCTAGGTGATGCATCTGAGAGAGAGATTGATCACACTTTAGAGGCATATGTGGTATCATTTTTTTTCCTTTTTCTAATTGTTTGAATTTTATACCAATGTTTAAACTTAATTGGGTGTTAGCTTGAGGTGGTTAAAAGGTTGTTTTGGGGGAGGTTTGTTGTTATGGTTTTGCTGTAAAAAGTGTTTCAAATTGTGCTGAAATGTTGCTGAAAAGCRTGGTGCTGGTAACAGTTCAACAATCCGTGGCTGCTCATTCTTGCCTACTTTTTACTCTCCCTCTGAAGCAGGTTAGCATTGAAGGTGGTATGGAGAAGCCTGCATGCGTGTTCAATTCTTTGTTTCTTCTCCTTCCCTTTTCCCCTGCCTCCCCTACCCTCCTTCGCTCGCTCAACCTCTTTTGTTCAGTATGTGTAACTTGAAGCTAATTTGTACTACTGGATATCTGACTGGAGCCACAGATACAGAATCTGTATTGTTCTTACTGAAACACAGCATGGAATTAACATTAAACTTAAATAAAACAAACCTAAATTAAAAATGCCAAATATACTGCGCCTCCATCCTTTATACTTCTAAAATAAAATCTCTAGTTCAAACACATTGACAGTATTACATTTGCCTGAATGTGAAAAAATTTCTCCTTTTTTCTTCCATAAATTATTTATCTGTCACCCAAAGATGTATATTTTGGAAAAAGAAATACTGCCTGTAATCTGGTTGTGAAGAACACTAAATAATCTTTTAAGTAAAAAAAAAAATATTTATCTGTTCTAATTTGTTACATATGACAGCAGAATGCATTTCAATTCATAGTACACATATGGAGCACAATTTTTCAAGTCACTGGTTGTACACAAAGTAGAGTCACACCACTCGTGTCTTCATCCATGTACTTAGGACAATGACGTCCATCTCATTGCACCGTCTTTCCTACCCCCTGCCCCCTCCCTTCCCCTCCCTCCCCTTTGCCCTACCCAAAGTTCCTCCATTCCTCCCATGTCCCCCCTCCTCATTATGGATCAGCATCCTCATATCAGAGAAAACAGTCGGCCTTTGTTTTTTAGGGATTGGCTAACTTCACTTAGCATTGTGTTATCCAACTCCAACCATTTACCTGCAAATGCCACGATTTTATTCTCTGTTTTTGCTGAGTAATAATCCATTGTGTATATGTACCACAGATTCTTTACCTATTCATCTATTGAAGGGCCTCTAGGTTGGTTCCACAATTTTGTTATTGTGAATTGTGCTGCTATAAACTTTGATGTGGCTGTGTCCCTGTAGTATACTGTTTTTAAGTCCTTTGGTGCCGGGTTTCTGTTCTCTCGACTAAAAGGCTCAGGGGTCACTCCAATTAAACTGGGCTAACTGGGCTGCACAAAATAATCACACAAGAGACTCAATACCTTTTTCTTTGGGGTCGCTGTGACGGCTCCTCTGACCTTAAGGGTCTGCAGAAAGAGAGAGCGAGAGCACACACTGACCACTTTTATTGAGGAGAAGCTATTCAAATGAGGCAAGGGGTCAGGTTTCAGGGGGCTGATTCTATCTTCATGATGTCCACTGTCAGCAGGTTGACTCACATCTGGGTAGGCCACACTCAAGGGCACAGTAAGAGAAAGGGACACACACAAGGCACTTCCATGGAAGATTCTATCCTAAACAGAGCAAGGGGTTACATTACAAAGGAACAGATGAGCATAGCTTCACCCATGGGGCTGTACCAAGACACACCCATGCACGAGACACCGACCCTCAGACCCAAAAAGAGTGGGGAAATCTCTGCCACATTTCTGCAACTGAGCGCCTCAGCACCCAGCCAGGGAATGTAACCCAGTCACGTGTAAGGTTGGTCTCCCACACTTTGGGTATAGACTGAGGAATGGGATGGCTGGGTCAAATGGTGGTTCCATTCCAAGTTTTATAAGGACTCTCCATACTGCTTTCCAGATTGGTTGTACCAATTTGCAATTCCACCAGTAATGTATGAATGTGCCTTTTCCCCCACATCCTCGCCAACACTTATTGTTGTTTGTGTTCTTAATAGCTGCCATTCTGACTGGTGTGAGATGAAATCTTAGAGTAGTTTTGATTTACATTTCTCTAATTACTAAAATATGTTGAACATTTTTTTTCATGTATTTGTTGATCAATTGTATATCATCTTCTGAGAAGTGTCTGTTCAGTTCCTTGTCCCATTTCTTGACTGAGTTTTTTTTKTGTGTGTGTGTGTGTTTAGCTTTTCGTATTCTTTATACACCCTAGAGATTAGCACTCTGATGTGTGAGGGGTAAAGATTTGTTCCCAAGACATAGACTGTCTATTCCCCTCACTGATGTTTCTTTTTCTGAGAAAAAGATTTTCAGTTTGAATCCATCCCATTTGTTGATTCTTGACTTTATTTCTTGCACTATAGGGGTCTTGTTAAGGAAGTCAGGGCCTAATTTGACATGATGGAGATTTGAAGCTACTTTCTCATATCTTTAATGCAGGGTCTCTGGTCTAATTCCTAGGTCCTTGATCTACTTTGAGTTGAGTTTTGTGCATGGTGAGAGATAGGGGTTTAATTTCATTTTGCTGCATATGGATTTCCAGTTTTTCCAGCACCATTTGCTGAAGAGGCTATCTTTTCTCCAATATATGTTTTTAGCACCTTTGTCTAGTATGAGATAACTGTAGTTATGTGGGTTAGTCTCTGTGTCCTCTATTCTGTATCATTGGTCTACAGGTCTATTTTGGTGCCAATACCATGCTCTTTTTGACACTATTGCTCTGTAGTATAGTTTAAGCTCTGTATAGTGATGCCTCCTGCTTCACTCTTCTTGCTAAGGATTACTTTGTCTATTCTGGGTCTCTTATTTTTCCAGATGAATTTCATGACTGCTTTTTCTATTTCTATGAGGAATGTCATTGGGATTTTTATTGGAACTGCATTAAATCTGTATACTGCTTTTGGTAGTATGGTCCTTTTGACAATATAAATTCTGTCTATCCAAGAACTAGGTAGATCTTTTCATCTTCTAAGGTCTTCTTTAATTTATTTCTTTAGCAATCTGAAGTTTTTAAGAAATATTTTTAGATGTATGGACCTTTTATTTTATTCATTTATTTCTATGTGGTGCTGAGAATCAAACCCAGTGCCTCACACATGCTAGGCGAGCAACTCTACCACTGAGCCACAGCCTCAGCCAGTGTTCTGTAGTTTTCATTATAGAGATCTTTCACCTCTTTTGTTGATTCCCAAGTATTTTTTTTTTGAGGCTATTGTAAATGGGGTGGTTTTCCTAGTTTCTCTGATGATTTGTCACTGATGTACAGAAATGCCTTTGATTTATGAGTGTTGATTTTATACCCTGCTACTTTGATGAATTCATTTATTAGTTCAAGAAGTTTTCTGGAATTTTTGGATACTATAAGTATAGAATCGTGTCATTGGCAAATAGCGATAGCTTGAGTTCTTTTTTTTCCTATCCATATTCCTTTAAATTCTTTTATCTAATTCAAGAACTATGTTGACTAGAAGTGGTGAAGGAGGGCATCGCTGTCTTGTCCAGTTTTTAGAGGGAATGCTTTCAATTTTTCTCCATTTAGAATGATGTTGGCCTTGGGTTTAGCATACATAGCTTTTACAATGTTGAGGTATGTTCCTACTATCCCTAGTTTTTCTAGTGTTTTGAACATGAAGGGTGCTGGATTTTGTCAAATGCTTTTTCTGCATCTATTGAGATGATCATATGATTCTTATCTTTAAATATTTTAAATATTTTTAAGTTGGTGATAGATTTTTATTTTATTCATTTATTTATATGTGGTGCTAAGAATCGAACTCAGTGCCTCACACATGTCAGGCAAGCACTCTACCAATGAGCCACAATCCCAGCCCTCTTTAAGTCTCTTGATGTGATACATTACATTTATTGATTTCTGTATGTTGAACTAACCTTTCATCCCAACCTCATTTGTTCCTGGTGCACTATCTTTTTAATAGTTTTTGTATTCAATTTGCCAGAATTTTATTGAGAATTTTTGCATCTATGTTCATTAGAGATACTGGTCTGAAGTTTTCTTTATTTGATATGTCTTTGTCTGGTTTTGAAATCAGGGTGATATTGGCCTCATAGAATGAGTTTGGAAGTGCTCCCTCTTTTTCTATTTCATGGAATAATTTGAGAAGTATTGCTATTAGTTCTTCTTTGAACTTCTTATAGAACTCAGCTGTGTGTCCATCTGATCCTAGGCTTTTCTTGGTTGGTAGACTTCTGATTGTGTCTTCCTTTTCATTGCTTGAAATTGATCTGTTTAACTTGTGTATATCATCCTGATTCAATTTGGGTAAGTCATATGATTCTAGAAATTTATCGATGTCTTGGATATATTCTATTTTATTGGAGTACAAATTTTCAAAATAATTTCTAATTATCCTCTGTATTTCTGTAGTATTGGTCATGATATTTTCTTTTTTTACCACAAATTTTAGTAATTTGAGTTTTCTCTCTCTCCTCTTCATTTGCTTGGCTAAGCGTTTATCAATTTTATTTATTTTTTCAAAGAACCAACTTTTTGTTTTGTCATTTTTTTCAATTGTTTCTCTTGTTTCAATTTCATTGACTTCATCTCTGATTTTAATTATTTCCTGTCTTCTACTGCTTTTGGCGTTGATTTGTTCTTCTTTTTCTAGGGTTTGAGATGTAATGTTAGGTCATTTATTTGTTGACTTTTTCTTTTTTTAAGGAACAAACTCCATGCAATGAACTTTCCTCTTCCTACTGCCTTCATAGCATCCCATGATGACTTCGATACGTTGTATCTGTGTTCTCATTCACCTCTGAGAATCTTTTAATCCCCTCTTTGATGTCTTCTGCCATCCATTATTCATTCAATAGCATATTATTTAGTCTCCAGGTGTTGGAGTAGCTTCTATTTTTTTATTATTTTATCACTGATTTCTAATTCCATTCCATTATGATCTGATAGAGTGCCGGGTAGTATCTCTACGTTTTTATTTGCTTCAGAGTTGCTTTGTGATACAATTATATGGTCTATTCTAGAAAAAGATTGATATGCTGCTGAGAAGAAAGTGCATTCACTTGTTGATGGATGAAATGTTCTATATATGTCAGTTAAGTCTAAGTTATTGCTGTCCTCAGTTGAGGTCTCTCTCTTTGGGAACTTCTCAGATCTGGGGTGATACGTTACCAGAGACACTGATGTGAGCTGAAACTTACRTGCTGGACCGGACCCCTTAACGGGGAAATACGATCTTGCTGGAGAGTTCCCAGTCCCAGGGAGTCCAGTGCCTTTGGATCATACATATTCTACCTAAGTATGTATCCTAATAAAAACCTGGCCCTAAGCCCTGCCGCACATCAGGCTGGAGATAGCCTCACTCTGCCGGGTGCACACCCTCACTTCCCTGTTTCTAATTAAACTTTTGCTCTCTACGCTAAAGCATGACACATCCTTAAGTTATTTTCTATGATGTGTTCAAGAGCATGAAAAATCCCACTAGAGGTCTCCTCTGCCTCTAAGGGACTTCCTTGGATGCCTTACAAGGTGACAGTCACAGTTACTTGGGAGACTGAGGTAGGAGAATTATAAAT